GATGTCAAGAAACATTTTGTTTTGAATTTATAAGCCATTTCTTTCTCGGAAACAATATTTACGTAAGTAAGCAATGCTGAATTCATTTATGTAACTGATACTAGTTTACATAATACATACGATGTTGTTTTTGAAAACACATTTAAAGGTAATTTGTTTTCATGTAGTATAACTAGGTATCTTATTACCAGCAAGAATTGTGGATTCTGAGATGGAAAGACAGTTTTGTGGTAAGAATTTAAGGTTGTTGTTCACAGAGACACGCAGCTATAACCAAGTGGAGCCCAGMATTTACATAAAGGGAAATTTTGCAAACTGAATGAGACAACTAATCATTGATATGTACAATATCTTTTGGCCATAGGATTTTATTTAAGCAACACCATATTTTCATCAAAGTTGGGAGAATACAACTTCTAGAATTTCTTTTATTTAATTTTTATCCTTTTGATATCAAAGTATTTCTTCACTTGGAAGGGTATGTTGAACTATGAAAACAAACAATTACTTGTMCTTCTGGAGGGCTAGGAATGCGGATACTTGCGTCCTTCTTTCCCTTCATTTTTGATTCCTTCACTCTTTATTATCTTATTCACCACAGGAGCTGAGGGAGAACTGAACTGATTCTGCTTTTATTTATCTGTGCAGTTCCTGGCCTGAACCTGCATAATGCTTCAACCACTAAAAACAACTTACAGGAAAGTCCTTGGTTCCATTTCTTCTACCTGTTTCAGAGGAAAGGATCTCTCTGTTGCCTTGCTACCAGTGCTCTGGCCAGCCCCCAGAATCCGGGCACCTTGCTAAAATCACCTGACAAACTACTTGTAGTAACCTTTGGCTCAGACTGTGTGGCCAGTGGGTTTTATAACATTTTTCTTTCAAGTCATTATGTATACATGTRCTGCATCACTGAACTAGAGGATTCCATTTGGACCAAAGCCATAATAAATAATGTGGACTAGTTTTAAAAAATTATTGAAAAAATGATTTATATATTTCCATTGATATCTAAGGATGAATACTTAATCCAATTATAGATCTTMCTCCTCATATATTCTCATTCATCTATACAAAAGTATGCAGAATCTACTTCAAGATCTTTATTTGGGAAATGTTCCTGACAAACTTAGGCAACCATCTATCTGTATAGTCCTTCAGAAAGATGAAAGTAATTGAAGACATAGGAATGTATGAATTGCCTAAATAAATTCTTCAGATTTCCACATTATATGTAGTTCCACTTAGAATAAAATACCAAAACTTYATCCATTAATGAATATTGATTTGCTAATAATATTAGTCATTTTTTTGGCAAAGTTTAGTTATCTGACCACATAGAGCCTGAAACTCATCGTAGCCTTTTCTTAAATGTGTATAAATTCTTTGATATTACAAACTCCTGGATTTTACATAAGGCATCATTTCTAATTCAATTATATACAAATATGACCACATTAGTTATATTTTGACTTGTCATTCAGAAAACATTTATGCTGGCTTTATGGAAATAATTTACTTTTCCAATAACCACTGAAGTAGAGGATAGAAATGAAAGGGTAGAAAGTGTAAATTAAAAGCTGTATTTTTATAAATTAAATGTGAAGACGTGCCAAATTAAGGGGCATTTATATACATCTTTATGGCAACTTTCCCATTACATGAACAGCTCAAGTACTTTTACAAAAACATTAAGTAATAAACCTATTTGAGAATAAATGTAATATTGTGCATGTGCACACACACATACACATACACACACGCACACATAAACAGATGCTAAATTTACAAAACGTGCCAGATAGCTGGTGGCCATTATTGAATTAAGAATAGTAGATTACTGAGTCATCCCAGATTCCAATTATAGTTATACATAAATTGTGCACTTATAAAAACCTTACAAATAATTCTGCTTTTCCAGGAAGACATTATAGGTATAACAACTTAACATGTGCAGTAAGAAAACATCTTATTATATTCTTAAAACCACAGATTAATTAAACAATTCAATAAACTGAAGGCTATTATGAGTAAAGAATTCTACTTATAAAGACTTCTTCATATTTTCATGTCTGAAATAACAACATTTTGTTTGTAAATACATATATTTTAAGTTTTTAATTGTCAACGCAAGGAAAGTAAAGCATTTTGAAATATGATCTGATAGAAAGCCATACACACATTTAAATCAGTAGTTTATTTAAGAATATTTCTAAGGTATTGCAAAATTAAAGTAGATTTGCTGTCAAATTATGTGAACTGACAGATTATTTGAATTGTTTTCTAAAAAAATAAGTGGTTGATTACATTTAAATGAGCAATATTACAAAGAGATGATAGAAATTTAGTTGACAACATATTGTATTGTGTTCTGAGAATACTGTGAGGAATCCAAATTTCATTCTCAGGCAATGTACTGAGGCCACTTGGTACAAAAGAGAAAATGGATAAAGTTTTAATATTATTGTGAATAAATCCTTTATATCATTTTTTTCTGGGAAAATACTGCCTTTGTCATGTTAATARCACATCTCAAAAATGAAATGCTAAATATTTTAGGAGCAGATCATAATGTTTCAATGACTAAGATAATCAAAATGAGTCCAATTTTTATCCTGATAATGAGTAAATTTGCAAAGAGGAAAGAGACAAACTGAAATTGAATACATGAAAACACCTAGTCCCACTTTAAATATATATAATCCACTACCCACATATAGTACTGTATTTCATTTTTAAAGATGTAGAAGTAAAAGTATTCACATTTAAACTTCTTATGGAAATTATTCTTCTATTTAGGAAAACCAATTATACTAAGTTAACATGGGAAACTTCGAAAAAATTCTCCTGGGAGACTTATTCAGCTGAGAATTTCTCTYTAGAATATAGTTTAGAAAAGTAATTAAAGAGGTCTCAGGTGTGTTTTCCACCTGTAGGTCAACCTTCTTAATCTGAATTACAGTTCATGGTTAAAGTTAATGCTTTTGGTGAAATAAATTAATAATGGCAATTCAATTTCTTAGATACAAATGTGTACATTAGAAAACTATAATTACTGCATGAATCTTGGCAAGATAGTGGAGTGATTGAAGATTAGTAACCATTCATGTCCTTATCTTTAGATACATTGCCCTCATAAGAAGGTCTCACCTGGACAAGCTAGCATGGGCATGTGAAGTCTGGACTTTGGAGACTCCATCTGCTCATGTGTTGTAAGTACTTTCTTTCCATCCCAAAACACTTCTATCATTGTTTTATCATTGAAATGAAAAGTCATCAAAGGAAAGAATTATGTTTATCAGTTGTATTAATGCAAATCACATTGGGCGTATTTTGTGAGCACACTTCATGCTACCATATCTGACCATGAAGACAGTACACACATTTAGTATGCAAAATGGAAGTGTTCATGGTTCATCACTCTTCCTTTTCCAGTATCTCTTAAGGTATGGCTCATAGGCTGATGGAGACACTTACAAATGCTTAAGATTGGGTACAGATGTTTTAAGAAAATACAGAYTCCTGCTCCTCACAGCAAACAAGAAACTTATTCTATCAGTAGGGAAAAATATAAATAAGTGATTAATTTGCTTTTTGGAAAATATTTGACAACTCTTCCCCCATGTTGGACTTCTCCTGATACATTATCATTCACAGGCTATTTGTATCAACTGGTGTTTTCAAGGAAAGAGAATCAGTTAAAACATAAAAAAGGGATAACTAGTGTCAAGATACAATAATGTATTCCAGTGTCAAGAAGCTATGATTTGTGGCACTGTTTGTAATTAAKCGATAATCAAGAAATGAAAATTCCAATTATTTCTCCTGGGAAAACTACTATTAATACTACGTGGAGATGAAAATCGTAGGGATGAGAAAGTAAAAATGTTCGTCTGTATCTTATCTCTACTGGAGGTTTCAGGGACTGGGAGGGAATAATGGACAAAGCCATGGGTAGAGCCAGTACGACTTTAGGGAATTAAGGATTGTGGGGGAATGCCCCTGGTGAGGGACTGTTTTGAATGCTTTGTTGCACACCCCAGAATGACATGATGAAAAAGTGCAGGTAGATGGGCAGCTTCCTTATGCCCCAAATTGAACTTATTTATTTTCACTTGCTGTCTTTTAAACTAGAGTATTAACTGAATGACCCTATGAAATGCAGTGGAGTTTACATATCTTAGAGAATCATAAAAAATAGAAGTTTTCTCTATTTTATTCCTAGAGGGAAAGGAGTTTGGGCACTTTTCCTGGTAGGGGAACAGGATTGACTTGTGAATATTTTGGCAATAGAGAAATCTTAACCTCATATTCTTGGCTGTAAAATTCCTATTCATCAGCAACAGAGTCCAAATTGGCACATTTTTAAAGGAGAGCTGGATTCACCGATTGAATACAGAGYTGTACCGGGTCAATAGCACCCCATAGTCTTTGTTCCCATGGGCAATTTAAGAGATAGCTGGTTAAGAATTATACATAACTTGGAAAGAATGACATGCATTATCAACTGGAGTGAGGCAGAATATAAAGCAGAGTAATAAGAATTAATGTTTTCACCAACTACTTATTTTCACATTTTACATGTGTATTACAATTTTAATGTAGGCAAGAATTGCTGATATAATTACTGTGAGGTGAAATGTGTAAAAATAATCCTACAAACAGGTAGTGCATATCAACAGCAACACAAGTGCTTTGATGGAGATGGAAAACATAAGAGAAAAAGGCTAAATGTTCTTATTATAAGAAAAATAATAAGGTTTAAATGATTTAAAACCTAAAAAAATTAATATACAGATACTATCCTCCACTCAATACATGAGAAAATAATTTGGATATAAAAATGAAGCATTTTTATATTCTGGTTTTCTTAAAATACAATTTCTCCTCAAAAATAATATTTCAACTATTTCAGAAACTTTAAAATCTGAAATAGCTATTTTTAATCTGAAAGAAAATGAAACAAATATTTATAACAAATTGGTTGCTATATCTTGGAAATAAATGAACAAAAATCAAATTTTACCTTTTTGATCAAACAGGTTAGAAATAATGGAACTCATGATGCTGTTCATATTCTAGGAATACCCACAAAATAAGGGCAAGTAAAATCAGGTTCCTGATTCTTTATGATAAGAAACAGTACCTTCTCAGAAGGCAAATAAAAGAAATGAAAGATCAGTGATAATGGAGAAGAGAGTAAACAAAATGTTTAAGAATTCTAGCACTGTAAGTTTAAGCTTAGGACTGTCAATTTTTGTACAATTTTCACATAAAGTAATACTTACAATTATTCTTGGTAATATGGATGTCTGTACAGTGTCATTTTCAGGTTACCTGGGTTTGAGGTAAGGACCTTTTGGTCTGAATTGTTCATTCAGGTTTCTGCAGTTTGAGAGCATGGGGCTGCTCTCCAGGGAGCAGTCTTGACACCTGACACTGGCTACTGTGTAATTAATTGGGATTCATTTTATTATAGCTTAAATCTGTAACATAAATTTAATTCTGCTTTTTTCCTCCTCCACAGTTCTGACCAGCACCCCTGACATGTACAGGCAAAAATCTTTATTTTCAGAAGAAACCAATCTCTATGAACGCAAGAGAAATAACTTATCTGGGATCAAAAACTAACAAATATACTGCCAAATTTTTACTTAGAGACCACAAGCCTACAGAAAAGAGAAGACTCCTTAAAAGTGAGGTTAAATGATACTTTTCAAAGTCTGCGGAGTTTGTGTATACAGTTGGTGTTTATCAGTGGTTATTTGTGTCATGATTATAACACAAAGGATCACCAAATTATCTTTTAAAACCCAGAGTTCAAGTTCATATTTTTAAATTAATATTTGGTGCTTGCATGTATAATAAACACAAGTTGAAAGATCTGGAAAGTGTAACAGAGCAAGATGCTTTCACAAGGAAAATGACTTTTATTTTTAACATTTCCTCATTCTTTGCTAAACTGTCAGTTACAACATATATATTTATTCTACTGAAGACGATAGCCAGATTGATCTCTAATTAGTGTAACTGACTGATCAATCATCAATCAATGTTACTGTGGTCATTTTGTAAGCAAAGTGTTACTACAGATGATCTGCTTCAGAATCGAAGATCTCTGTACTGRAAATAGAGCAGGTGCTCTGCTGCTAGTGAGAAGGGACAGCAGAAGTGACTGATACCAGTCCATTCTGCTGATAACAAGCAAAACGCAGGCTCAAAAAGGTAGCGTTCCAGAAGTCTTCAGCTGTCCTAATAGCTCTTTTCTTCCTTGAGTTGAAATTCCCAAACGTTTCAATGTGTTTCCTTGCAAGGTCTATGTAGATATGTTCACAGGAAGTCTGAATAAAAACCAGATACCATTTCACACTAGTATGTTTTAAAAATTTACCTCTAATATGTCTGGTGAGAAGTGACAAATCCAAGCAAATGGTCTTATTATTACTTCTGGGCTTTATCATGTTAAGGAGATATATGTTGCTAAAATATGACAACCCCTGTCACTTTATTGCTATGGTCTAGGTAATCTGAGCTAATTAATGATTTCTGTATCATCTAACATCTTGACAAACAGATCAAGAACTCCCTTTAAAGCAGTTATTGCAGAAATATACTGTGTGAGGCCCCAGTTAAGCTTTTGTTGATTTGAAGTGTTTTTCTCAAATAAAAAAATACAAAAATACTTTTMACTGAATGTAACTGAGAAATTGTTTGATTTGACATAGGATGAAGACACACTTTCATTTCTTGAGACAGTACACTTTGGGATTCACAGGATAACTTGCATGACACACGATTTAATGAAAGCTCTCAAATAAGCAATTTTATTCCTATCCATGATTGCAGACATTTACAAAACCATAACATCTGAGTTCACCTTAAAAAATAACTTATATAAAGCAGTGATATACACAGCACAAAATAGTTCAGGGAAGGGGCAGGAGCAACTTTTAATAATTAAAATGTAAACGTGAAAAAAAGGATGGAATAAAAGTCCCTACTTATTTCTACTTAAGATGTCATGTGATATATTTTACAATGTCCCGTGGGTCAATGTATGTATGCGTATATGTCCATATAACATCCGCATATACGATACATTCTCTTTCCCACACATATACATACACAGATAATTATTTGCAGTTCAGTTTAGGGCAATTCTGATGTGCCGCTCCGTACAGTTGTTTGGATCACTTTTGGACCTGCTTTCTTCACAAAATAGGGGAGAGAGCAGGAAATAAAAAGATTGGTTTGGTKTGGCCGAGATTCCTTTGTTTAACTGTACACTGTGATGAATAATTTTCTTCCGTAGTAGTTCTGTGAAGGGCTGACTCACTGTGGTTTTCATAAGGAGACTTGGTAATGGATCACACACTCATTGTCATGCTAGGGGAGTACTAGAAAGAAAGAAGAATCCATATTTTAATGGCAATTTTCTTATGTTCTTTCATGCTTAAGATTTTTACCCTATATGACATAAAAAGAAAAAGTTTATATAGACTTAATTCTAAAATTTTTATTATTTCCTCTGCAAAGCAATTGATCCAATTCTCTCCCAGACCCAGGAGGCTGATAATCCAGTCCCTCAGCCTTCTCCTTCCAGACAGATTTATGTTTTGCTTACAATTGTAACAACTTGAGTAACCAGTCCAAGGTGGATCATAATGAAATAATTATGAGGACTTATCTTTGCTATCTATTCAGCAATGTGTACTGGAGAGTTACTTAACTCTCTCAACTTTAGTTTCCTCACCTGTAAAATGGATTTAATAATATTATCAAGGGGTTCTGAGAAGATTAAATAAATATAAAGTCCTTAAACTATGTATCTTATTGAATACTTAGAAAGTGCTCATTAATTCTAGGTGAATAGTGAAGATAAACCAAGCCAAACCAACTCCCAGCTGGCCCTAAGTTTTCATTAAAACATTTAAAATACCTTTAAGAGTCTGCTTTAGACTTTACCATATGAACCTCTTCCCCTAATATGACTCCAATCTCAATCCACAATCATTTGAGTGACAATAGGGTCACAGTTGTTACGTTTACTTGGTACTCTGATTCTCTAGACAAGGGATTCAAGATGAGGCTTTCAGAAATGTGCAAACAGTGGCCTCAAAAATGATTTATAAAGGAAGAAGAGCAATTATTTTGTTTTATGCCAATCTAGCCTTCATGGTATTGAGGAGCAGACTGTGACCAAAAAAAAAAAAAAAAAAAACCAAAAAACAAAACAAGAAACAAAACAAGAAACAAAAACAAAAAAAAACTTCTAGAATAGCACTGTTCAGGGAAATTTCCTTCAGTGACAGACCTGTCTTACAATATGTGCTTCCAACACAGAAACCACTGGTCACATGTGGCTACTGAGCACAAGAAATGATGCCAGTGCAACTGAGAAATGAAAAATTTTAATGTTATCGAATTTTCATTTATTTAAATATCTACATGCAGCTAGTGGCCATCACTTTGAAAAACAGCCCTAAATTAGCTGCACTGTGAGAAGAGCCATCTAATCKCACATAGTAATGGTCTCTAGATAAAAAGGCTTCTAAATTAAAATGTAAATGTGGACCCTGAAATATTTTAAGTGCATTATTGAAAACCTGTGAGGACCTAGGCAAAAGGTGATTCTTTTCAACATGCAATTAATGGTTGTGCGTTATGAAGAGGCAAATAAAGTCTAAGGGATTGGTTCAGGGCTGTTGGGGCTTAACCAGGAACAGTGAGGCTCCTGGGGAGAGAATACAACTTTTTAGAAAGGTGGCAGACAGAGAAGGGAATGAATAGATGGGTTGTTGAAACCAGTAAAGAGGTGTGAGGTGTGTACTGAGAAGAGGARAACCAAGGGAAGGATTTCCCTTGGAGGGCAAAAGGTGATCATGGCTCCAGTGGAAGACTTCCGAATCAAAAGTCACAAGGGCTCAAATAAAAAGCACGTTGTTCCTAAGTAAAGGTGGAGAATGAGGCTGGGAAAAGGGTCACTGGGCCATGGGGGAGAACTGTTAATCCTTCAAACATGGGCCACAACAAGGAAAATTTACTTGTTAATCATCTAATAGCCCAAAGTTTTGTTTCAGTACAAGAACTAAGTCACACAGTCAATTCACTCCAATGTTGGATAATAGGGTGATAAAAAGGGGATACTGCCAGAGAAGAGAAAGATTCAGTCGGATGGACAAACATCTCTCCCTTTATTCTCAATCATGGTAGCAAAAAGCAAAGCAAAGCAAAACCAAACCAATCATGGAAACATTCACAGACAGGGCAGCTGATGGAGCTCACCTGACCCTATGCTGGAATGGGAATATACCCCATTTCATTACAAGGTACCAGCATAGTCTTGCAAGACAAATTGTATACTTGAGCTTCAATGAGTTATCCACAGCCTTTGACTAACAGAATTATATTTTGTAGTTTATTTTCAGGGGAAAGCATTAAACAATAATAAATGGATATCAAGGTTTTATTAGAAGTAGAAAAAATCAAAAGTATATGGCAAAATGGGCACTGAGAATTTTTTTWWAAAAATTAGTTTTAGGTGGACACAATATCTTTATTTTTATGTGGTGCTGAGGATCAAACCCAGGGCCTCGCATGAGCTAGGTGAGTGCTCCACTGCTGAGCCACAATCCCAGCCCCTGATAATTATTTTAAAATATAGTGTTTATTGAGTATACTATGCTAATAGTCTAAAACAGTGAGTTACTAAAGCATTTCAGAAAGGACCTCAAAGGAAATCTTTTAAAAATTCCTGGATAAATCATAGGAATTTAAATAATCAGGATTTTAAAAGTTCTTGAATCCTTTTACCATAGTACTCCAGTTCATTTGTATATCATGTAACATTGGGAAATATTCTTAAAATATATAGTAGTCCTCACCCTAACAGACATTTTGTTAAGAGATGTACATATGTAAAGCTACACACATGCATATACACTGTTATCAAGTATTTTTTACTAGTTGCTACCATCCTGTAACACCAGTAATTGTTAACATTATCAACCTGTGATATTTCAAATATCTCTAGCAAATCTTATAGAAAAATGATAATTTGTTACTAATTCATTGGGAAATTAAAATAAATAGGTTTCCCAGGGAGGAAACTGAAGAAAAGGAGTATAATATTATAGAGAAAATAAGGAACACATTCAGTCAGAAAGGATGAAAGCATTAGCTCCAAGAAATAACACTCAGAAAAATTATCAAGCATCTAATAAAGTATATTTTTTGAGTAGTATGAATAACTATAGAAATGTTGTGCTAATTGTATTTGATACAGTAAGACAGGATGTTTTTATGGCTGAGTGTCTACATAAACAATGTGCTATTTGTACTCCTAAGGCTGTAGACTGCTCATCTTTTAACTGCCTTTATTGAAACTGTTTCAACTAAATGAAATTAAGGGGGAATCACAAAATTTCTAGGAAAACTTACAGAATATGAAAGCAAAAAAGAGTTTTTCTATCGATTGCTATTCTTCAAGGTACTAGAGAAGTGGCTAATGTTTTTCCAGAAGAAAAGGAAGAGTAGGTGTTAAATGGGGTATCATATTTAGAGACATAAAACATTCATGGTATACTATACTGTGGCCAAACTTCAGTGTTTCTATTGTATTGYTGCATCAATATGTGATGGCAAATTGTAATGTCTGTATCAAAATGCTGTGATATCAGGTTGCCCTGTTTCAAAATATTCTGAGTATTCTTCTCCACAGAGGATAAAATGGTTCTTACAAAGCTGTGAACAACATTACTATTTGATTTAGCAAAAAATTAAAACCTAAAGATATCATTTTTAGTATATATCAACTTATTTTACCTGAACTATATTTTGAAATGGCATTCTTTGGCATGAACTTGTGATATTTTCATTGTTATATACCTAGTTCATGTATCATTGCATCTATCAGAGATATTCACTAAATCTTTGAGCAATGTCAATACATTTCTGTTTATGTATTTCAAGATCTCACATTAGATCTTACTACATTCCTGTGTCTTAGTTTCTATATAATATTTTATTAATGAGAAGTAAAGAATAGTTCTGCAATTATCATATAAAATAAAGCAAAATAAATTTAGTGGTTATGTGACTACACCAAAAATTTGAGTTGTTGGGATTTTTGCACAGTAACAGAAACAGACAAAGGGGAGTATGTGCAGTAGGAGATGATCGACCACCTTCTTTATAATTTCTATTTGATACTAGGGTTTAATATCATGTGTCCTGAACTGACAATGAAATATTTTTATTAATTAATTCAGAAGAGGAGACCTATTTATTGCTTTCTCCACTTGGMAATCATGAAAAACTTTTAAAAATTAAGCTTGTCATATTCTGTACCTTCAAAACCCAACACTTTACAGTTTGAACACTAGGGGGCATCTTTGCTTCTTGAAATAAGAACCTTGTTTGTGATTAAAAAAAAGAGGCTGAATAGTGAAATATTTTTTGATTCTCATTTAGCTCTGTCAAGTATGTTGGCACTGAGAAGTTTATGACTTCCACTGGAAATTTTTGTTTCTATATTATTAAATGAAGTAGCATGTATGAAATGACTAGGATAATACCTCATCTGTAATAATAAGGTGATTGCTCCCTTACCAAGTCTCTTTTGTGGTCAGARTAAAATGTCTCAAGTCTTCAAAAGGCAGACTGCTAAAAAAAATGTGCTTTTAGGATTATGTGCATTAAAAAGACTAGAATTTTAATATTCATTTTTTTGGAAATGTTTTCTTTTTGCATTTATTAAACAGTTCTATTTTCCTTGATTATAATAAAAACAACTTATGGGAGATAACTAGTTATTTACTTCCTTAAACCCTTACATTTGCCAGCAGTGAATCACTTTTTGTTCTTCTTCCTCTCTCCTCTCTTCTGCTTGATCTTACAAAAAAAAAAAAAAAAAGTCTAAACAAAAACATGTGGTAATGTGATAAAGAAAGCCACAGGTAACAGGGACACCATCCATTAAAAGCAGACAGACAAAAGGAGGGAACTGCTGCGTGGACCTGCTTTCTGGTTGTGCTACCCTCCAGGGTGTGGTACAGTGTCTTGATCCACCATCCAAATATTTTTTCCTTTGGGACCTTTCTGTTGGAGACATTGAACCTTCTTGGGTTCAGGGGCTGTGAGACTGGGCCAGGGTCTGGGATGGGGGAAGACCTGCTCCAGCTGCTGTCCTTTCTAAATGCAGATTTACAACAATCTGTGGCTTTACATGGAACATAGTCTCGGTTGGATTAAAGGGCGAGGGTGGTGTATAAAGAAATTCTTTAAATCCTATTTGATTCTCTGCTTCTCATGAAGAGTTTTCTGATGCCAATTTTGAATTGGTACTCCTCTTCTGACTGTTAACAGAGGAGCATTCATCAGTGACAAATATGGGAAGGAAGGAGAGGGAAGGGCTCCTCTTGTTTCTGCCCATAARGTTAAAGCCATGTGGAATCTTTTTACAGTTTTTTTTCAACCCCGAATTAATCTATTTTCTTTATTTACATTTAAAACACCTCGCTTATGTCTACTTACCACATTTATTTTTAAAATTTTACTTTTTAAATGGATATATAAAACTATATATATTTATGGAGTACTATATGACTTTTAAAAATATTTTTAGCTGTAGATTGACACGATATCTTTATTTTTTAAAGTTGTACTAAGAATCAAACCTAGTGCCTCACACATGCTATACAAGCACTCTACCACTGAGCCACAACCCCAGCCCCAGACAAAAGGAGGGAACATGTATTTTTTGATACATGTGTGCATTGTATAATGTTCAAATCTGGAAAAATATATCCATCTTCTCAAATACTGCCCTTCTTTGTGATAAAGACATTAAATGTTCTTCCTTCTAGTTTTTTTTTTTTTTGGAAATACATAGTGCATTTTTATTACCTATAGTCACTCTACTATGCAGTAGTATGCAGTTCTTCCTTCTAGTTTTTTTTTGAAATACATAGTGCATTTTTATTACCTATAGTCACTCTACTATGCAGTAGTACAACAGAACTCACTTCTAACTGTAACTCAGTCTTTCCCCATATTCTCCTCAGCTTTTGGTAATCAATATTCTATTCTCAAGTTCTACGAGATCAACTTTTTTAGATTCTTACATTTGGGCAAGATCATGCCTGATTTGTCTTTCTGTATCTGTCTTCTTTTACTTTACATAATATCCTCCAGGACCATCCATGTCACAAAACAGAAAATTCCATTCATTTTATGACTGAATAGTGTTCCATTACATGTATGTACCACATTTTCTTTATCTAATCATCAGTCAATGGACTCCATTTCTTAGCTCTTATGAATAGTGTGTTACAGTATTTATTAATTTGCCTTGTTTTAATTATGTAAACATCTGTTTTTCTTATTAGATTGTATTCTTTCAGGATGAGTATATATTTATCTCAGAAGACTTCATCTTTATCCTAATTCTTTCCATTTAGCAAGCTCAATAAATTTTCAACTGCATTGATATCATATACCTCATTAGATCATACCATATTACTGCAGGAAGAATTAAAAGAATAGGAAAKAAAAGGCCTTTAATTAGATAAAATGAACACAGGAAAATGACTCATTTATTCACAGTCCTGAAATAAATCAGTGAAAGAACCAGGATCTATAAAATAATTTCTATAATCCTGAGGCATTATGACTTAAACTGTTTCTCATATTTTTTCTATATCCTCATCATGGAAAGCTAAGATTTTGATTTCTTTATATGAATTTATATATATATATATATATACACACACACACACACACACACACATACACACCTTCTTTGTTCTCACTAATTACATATGTCCTGTAAGTAAAACAAACTAAAAATCAGCACTCTTTTCTAATTTTAACAGAAATAAAACCCCAAAGCAGGGAAGTCTTGTCCCATGAGAGGCTATAGTTTAAGGCCAAGAAGTAAAAGAATCTACAGAACCTAAATCTTAGTTTCCCGGTGGGGAAGCAACCAGTCTGTGCAAAAGTAGACATGCTATTAGCCACCACTTCAAGKTCTTATGGTATTACCTCTGGTAAAGGCTAAATTGGGCAAAATGGGGATAGCTGTCTCTTCTCATTCTGTCTGTAGTTGGCAGGACCTCCATAATAAATTTTAATGATAGTAATGCATATGTGGGGTAATGGATCATATAAAGACAAAATTCATTTAGGTTTTGAAATCTTTCATACTATATACCAATTTCATTATTCTTTCCAGAGAATACATATTAGCATCACTAACAAAGAGTTTTCATTATAGTATGCTCCAACTCACTTTTGGAAATTCTGATTCACTAAACCTAGGGAGGGTTTGGCAAGCTGTATTTTAAAAAATCCCTGGAAATGGTTTTTCTCTTTTTTTAATTTTYGTTACTGGGGATTAAACCTAGTGTCTTACATGTGCTAGGCAAGCACTTTACCAGTGAGGTACATTCCCAGTCCCCATCCAATGGGAAAGTTTGCTTTGTTTTGTTTGTTTATTGATTTATTTTTGGATAGGGTTTCACTAGGTTGCCCCGGTTGGCCTCAAACTCTCCTGCATCAGCCTCCAGAGTAGCTGGYGTTACAGATATGTGCCATGGCATCCAGCTTGGAATAATGGTTTAAAACTCCTTAAGAAAAAGCATCATCTTGTCTCGTTCTAGTACCTAGCATATTGCCTTGGCACATGGTAAGTGATCAGAAATTGTCTGTTAAATGAACAAATGATTTTGATTACTTCACTTTTTGGTTCTGTCCACTTCTATGGAGATATGGAAGGATACTGCTTTTGTTTAACAATGTAATCACACTCAAAAATTGATGTAAGTATCCAGTTCAGGTTAACAGACCACCAATATGGCCTCCATTCTGGTGAGGTCTATTATATGAAGAAACAACACACTGATAGATTATTTTCACAACTATAAGGACAGCCCTGAGAATAGATTTATTTTTTTTTTTAGCAAACATTTTAGTAACATTTAAAGTTGTAAGACACATCAAATAAACAACCTGTTTCCATTTTCATTATTTGTAGTAAGTGTTCTCTATGAGAAAATTAGTATTATGGTTTTGTAACTATGTAGATAGAATAGGAATATAAGARAAGAAGTTTATTTAAAAAWTTTTAAAGAAATTTTACTTTAAAGTTTCCTGTAACTTTTTAAAGATCAACCTATTGAACTCTAGACAAACAAAAATAATAATGATTTTATGCATTTATTGTAATAGAAAAGCTTCAGAAATAAAATCTGTATATAATAATATAGTCAAGGGAATACTTACACTCTCACTCTGAAAAGGATTTAAGAAATTTCCCCCCATTTCACCATCATCCCTTGGAGTGCCCGGTTGATTACTCAGGCTCATATTATTGGGAGAATTCTGTAAACAAGATTTAGAAAACAAGGCATTGTTGAAGATTTTAATWTCCCTCTTGCATTGTACTGTTTCAAAAACTGAATCTACAGTAGCATCTCTAAGGACAAAGCAGACTTATAATTTTAATCTTAGACTTCTACCACGTATTCTAGTTCATTCTTTGTATCTTGGCAAGTACTAATACTCTCCCAAATGAAAATTTAAAAACAAACCCCCMAAATCCCCCAAATAACCTACAAMAACTATTTTCTTAGCCTTAGAATCAATATTTATTCAACTTCCCATCCTCAGTTTATAGAGCTCCTAGAACTCTGCATAGTTTAAAAAATTTTCCCAACAGGGGCACGGTGAAGAGAGAACCCTCACAGATAAGCATGGTGGAATGACAATTCCCTCAGCAATTTCATTAATCAAACTTTGAAAAGTTACTGCTGTAATGAACACATCCCTTTAATTCTATATGCAGTTTATAGATACTATTCAACTCKTTTTTATACAAACCATAAGGAAGCAAGGAAGATAGTTAAGACCAGTARTTAAAAACAAGAAATATCGTTAAGACTTGAGAATTAATTGTGTGTCTTTAGAGAAAAAGAAGGCTGAAAAGTAAATTGCTTTAGAGGTTTTTTTTCCTCTCACTAGTTTAAAAGTAGATTTACTTTGAAACTTCCTTCTAAGATAAAATGGCTGCTATTAGCAATCTAATCAAATATGAAGTTAGCAGTACACTGCTTCATATTCTATTTAAATTTGTTAGTCTCATTATTATTATGTAATTTGAGMTATGCAGGAATATCTGATACTCCACATCAATAGGAAATACAGAATGGCAATGGCATATAAATCATGTTTATTTGTTATTACAACTGTGACCCAAGGGACTCTTTCCAAGGTGCAATTTATTAACTTATTAAAAAAAAACTTCAATGTTAAACATTTTCATTGCTATTTCAAATGAAAAAACAATTTTAGATTTTTTTCCTTAGGCCACTGCCATTATATATTCTGTTTTGGAATAAGTTTTTATATTTTTTTAAAGAAAWTTGCTCAGAGGATTTGAYTTAACTAAAACAAGGTGTATTGCAAACATTAAAATTTCATGAATGAGTTATTCCCAGAAGAACAAGTGCTTTTTAAGAATATGGTTAAACTGTAAAGCAGAGGCAGGTAGATGAGCTGGTGGAAATACAACTTGTATCTTGTCTTGCTGTGCACCCCACAGGGAGGATCTGAGAACAAGGATCCTCTGAAGTCCATAGGAGTTCTATATACCAACGAACCCCAAGGGCTTGGCAACCATACTTTTATAGCATAAAGAAGTTCTATTTTTGTTTTTTGACAATTTTTTTTCTGAAAATTTTACTTACACAAGCATATATAAAGTTAACTGTACTTTGAATTCAATATGGGTATTTTTAAAAATTTAAGTAAAATTTAACTAAGTGTACCATTTTAGAATCCATTAGTTATTAATCAAATAATACATTTACTTTGAAAACAGAAATATGTTGACTTAGCTCAAAAAGGAAACTAGACTCATATAAGTATTGTAAGATTTACCCCAAATCTATCTTTTTTGGCAAACACATAGATTTCTGTCATTTTTTGAGAATTACAATTTGTTATATATGACAACAGAATGCATTACAATTCATATTACACACATAGAGCACAATTTCTCATATCTCTGGCTGTACACAAAATAGAATCATATCCTTTGTGTCTTCATACATGTACCATAGCTCAGTTGATAGATTTCTGTCATTTTGTACATAATAGAGAAATTGCTAATATTAGAATAAAAATAATCTAACAAACATATGAGAAAATTTAAGGATGCACCTGGAAGTTGTATACTTATACACATTGTCAAATAAATGTATAAAATGAGCAGTCTCAAGTCTTGTGTGACATCAGACTTCCAGCAGCACATTAGGTGCTCTAAGGGGATCAGTGCAGCCCTGATCAGTTGGGGTGCTTCAGGTCTCTGCTGTATTTTTGCCATACATCATTTCTTATTTTATAATTTGAAATTTAGCTAATGCAATTATGATTCCTGAGTCAAAGTGCTGATTTTTAAATATTTAGAATTTGAAAGTAATATTGCATTTTTAATAGTTAAATACTTCCAAAATACTTCCAGGGTTACTACTCCTGTTTTCCAGGCTCTTTTCAGATGACTCAGACTTACACTCTTTTATTTTGGAAAGGAGAGAGGGATGATACATAAGGATGTTGAGAGGAAGAATGAAAGGGCATAACCTATAAAACTAAGGTAATATAATTTCTGAAATGTATTTCTATTCAGCCCATTGGACCATATTTGAAAAACATTGAAGAAATAAGGACAAAATATTTTGTTTTGTTTTGTTTTGACCTGAAGTGATTTTTGCAAAATGTTGTGAAAGCAACAAAAGCTTCTCAATGGGGAGTCTTAAGAAAACTGTGCTGTGTCCATGATCACTGAGTGACATGATGAAGAGAGAGGCTCAAGAGCACACTCACAATTGGCATCTGAGGAAGAGCTAAGACAGTGGTACTGAAACCCAGCCCAAGACTGGTGGTAATAAACTGTGTGCCCACATCATCTAACTGTGGCCGTATGTGTGTCTCCAGTGGAGTTCATAATCAAGGTAAGGATATCATGCACAAAAGGTTGGTCAGGAAGGCAGTACAATCACTCGATAATATAATTAGAGAATAGGGAACACAAAAGAATACAGGTAAAGATTACTTTTAACTACAATATTCACATTAATTAAATTTCTTACTTCAGTTGATGTGTACTTTATTTTGTACTCATAGTCTAGAATTTAGCTTGAGAAAATATAGTCAGGATTTATTGATTCCATCTTCAAAACAATTTTATCACATTCTCATTTACCCTTTCTTTACTCTGGAGCTTTTCTATTACRTAAGCTATGATGTCATATAGAAATGTATATATGTGCATGATTTGCATAAGTAATATACCACACACACATTTTGGCTACCATTTTATCTTAGACTTTCTGATCTCTAAATTTACCTTGCAGTGTTTTTTCATATCCTTTTAAAATAAGTTATTATCCCTTCTTCCATCCTCAAAAATTGTTCTAAACCCTTTCAAACTCTTTAAAATTTTTTTTCAAGTCAAATGTAGATTTTTACAGAAACTTTGGCTATGTCTTTAATTAGAATAAAATAATATTGACATTAAGGTCTTGGGAAGTCGATTTTCAATTGATTTCTCACAGGTCAATAATGAGCTTTCAGAGTGTTGTTTTGACTCTGCTAGCCCCCAAAAGGAGAAAAACCTGTTTTCCCAGTGGGTACAACTGAGCTAGAACTGGGGCCAGCACCCCATAGATGATGCTGAMAATCCTTCATCCAAGCCCATCTAGTTCTCATGTGTTCTCTCTGAATCGAACTCAGGTTCTTGAGGTCAGAAAACTACAGGTTCAAAAGACTACTTTAAACATTTATTAAACATGATATGATCAGATATTTCCTTTTCATAGAATTTTTTTTCTTTAAACTCAAAAATATAAATGTGAAGTAGCTTAATGTGAGCCACAGATGCTTTCCTTCTAAGAAAACAAATCACATGCTTATCTCCACCCCAATCCCTAAAACATCACCAAAGGAACATACTTTCTTTCAATTGATTAAATGGATTATTTTTTAGTTGCAGAAGGGATCAAAGGAGTTTCACATTTCATTTAAAAAAGACTTCTAAATTTAAAACTAATTCTGCATTTTTGAGAAAGATTTATATGGATTTTGTAGGAAATATTCAACTGAGAAATAATTTGAAACTCTTCATGTAAAGCTTTGAATTCATTCTGACACTGAAACAGTGTTGTCAACCTGCAATTGACAGTGACTKTTTCTAGCCTTTCCCAAAAAGCAATGTATTAACTATTAAGAAGAAAGATATTTCAYGTCCATATACTTCATAGCCCTTAGCATGTGTTCACACTTGATCCTTGACAATTTTATGATATAGTCAGGGAATTAACTATAAACTTTATTTTATAGGTAAGGAAACTAAACTGGGAGAGATTAAGTAACACAGTCCCACCACATGGAAGTAGTAGAACCAGTTTTTATTTGGTACTTTTAATTTATCTCACATATAAAATAGATAAAATAGAACATATACAATTTTAAAACTAGAAAAAATGAACTAAAGTAATAATACAAGCAATGTTTTAAAAGGAAGTAAGAGTTTTTTAAAAAAGCAATACTGGTGCTTCACAAAATGCAGATTTAACTGGAGAATTAACTGAGAGGAATTTTGAACAAAATTACTAGGCATTAATAATTGAGATTATCTTCTGAGTCACAAGTAATAGAGACTAGGAAAAGAATAGGGTGTAAATCAATGAAACCAGGAAAAAAGAGAAAGAAAGAGAAAGAGAAAGCTTCTTAGCATAGATGTATATGTGTTAGAAAAGAAAGACGGGAAAAGTGGAGTTAATGATTGTTCATACTTCATAGTAAAAGACTGAAAAAAATTAGGCTGTGAGTGGACAGAAGTAGAGATAAAAACAATTGGCAGTGGGGAGTATACAGTATGCATGATGCTGCTTCTGAGACAAAAGTGACTAGAATGCCACAGACACTAGTGGTACTGTTACCCTGAGACAGCCAGCTCAGTGCCCATAGCCAGTGAACCTAGAGTAAGGGCAGTGCAGAAATGAGCTGCTCAGGAATTCATTTGAAGGCAGATGCAAATAACTAGTCATTTCCAGAATATTCACAAGTGACATATTTTCTGCTTGACGGGTAATTCTAATGTTAAGTACGTATGAACTCCACTTGGTAAAAGTTTTTCCCAATCCTATTTGATCGCTCCAGTTACACTGAGCTTCTTGAGAGCAGAGACCATATCTTGGTTAGCTTTGGATTTTTATAGCCCAGCAGAATGCCTTGGTGCTTTAACATTTATTGAATGAAAGAACTCTTGCCTAAGTATAAACCACTTGAGGACAGAAACCATGTTTGTGTTTGAAGAAGACTTTTATGTCTATGTCTCCCCAGAGTGCACAAGGCAACACCAGTACAGAAAAGTACATAATGGAGGGCCAATCAGTGATGGGAGTATAAACAATATATCATTAGACAAGGGAATCTTAATYGCAATGGGCATAATATAGTGGAAAAACCTTGTATCTAGGAATAGRAATGGCAAAATAAGCACAGAAGGGATGGTAATAGATCTGATATATGAGGGCAGATTAAATAGCATTTAATTCATCATTATGATGTTATTTAAAATTTTAAAGTGCTTTATAAATTGTAAAGTACTTTCCATATAGAATTTTATTTATATTTACCTAATGTAAAAGTGTAGGGTTGTTAGTGGAAATTTTAGGAATACGGCCCATAGCAATCTGGGTGATGCTAATTTTGTATAATTAAGAGTATCTCTAGGGGCTGGGGATGTGGCTCAAGTGGTAGCGCGCTCGCCTGGCATGCGTGCAGCCCGGGTTCGATCCTCAGCACCACATACAAACAAAGATGTTGTGTCCGCCGAAAACTAAAAAATAAATATTAAAAATTCTCTCTCTCTCTCTCTCTCTCTCTCTCTCTCTCTCTCTCTCTCTCTCTCTCTTTCTCTAGATAATTGCTTCTCAAATATGACATTAGAAATTTCATCATAAAGAACAATTCAGCTAATTCAATTGTTAGAATTACCTGAAATAGCCTAATATGCTTATGGTCACTTCACTTGCAAAGGCGCCTCTCAGAAAGAAGGCACTAATAAAATTATACAGGGAATCTTATTTGAAAACAGGCTTTATGAATACTATTTCCCACAGAGATAAGMTAGTATACATTTCAAATATTTATCTATTTTTTTTAAAGACCTTTTGGATTGTTCCTAARCACAGACACCCATTGTGCTTATAGAACTTGTGAGGCCAAGTAGTCAAATAGTACAGGTACAATGTTAAGATTACAATTTTAAATATTTTTGAGGATGAAGTCTTAATTCAAAATCTTTTGTAGATCAATCTTATTTTATGTTCCTCGGCACTGGAAATTTTATATTATTACACATGAATATAAATTAGGAATAGAATTAAAAGCAAAGTCACCCTTTAATGAATTTTTCTATTTACTGATAAAAGCAGACTTCTAAGCAAGTCATTCTAGTGCTAGCAATAATTAGTTCTTATCAAGCATTCTAAATATATTTGACTCAGAGAGCTATTTTAAATTCATCATGACCTAAAAAGTATTTAGGCATTATTATTAAAAAAAAATTAAGGCATTTTAGTAAAGGATTAATTTAGATCCTCAGACTATTGAAGGAAGAAAAATGCAGACATATACACTTTCCTACTTGTAGTAATATAATTTTCCTCTAATTACTTTCTTATTCTATTTGGGGGACAAAAATAATGATTGCATATATCAACATTGCCAAATGAGGGTTTGAAAAAGCAACTGAGTGTACAAAGGCAATGGCCTTCTAACATGTATAGCCACTTTTTCAAGTATTTTGAATTGATTTCTCACAGGCCAATAACAAGCTTTCAGAGTATTGTTTTGACTCTGCTAGCCCCCAAAAGGACAAACATATTGCTTTAAACACCTTTACATCATCAAAATATTATCTAAACACTGTCAGTTTAYTTTATAAATAAGTAACATAAAAATTGGTTATTACTGAGTGTAAATTAATCCTGTATAATATGCCTTATATATGAATCTTAGTCATTTTAGAAACATGTCTAAAAGACTCATTTTACCTCTTCCCACAAATTATATAAATTCATATTTTTGACTGCCAATTAATCACACCTGGGACTTCTATTTTTAAACTTTTGTTTAGGAACAAAATTCAGTTACTCTAATAATCTTTGACTTCTATGTGGAATAAAATTCAGATAAAAACAACACAGAATGCATAGTACTCACCTTRGAAATACTGTCCATATCTCCTGAGCCTGAAGAAAAATATGAAAAGAAAGTCTTATTAGGTAAGAGATCATTTATAAATTAAACACTACTGTAAGGTGTATCAGCAATATGATGACAAATATAAGAAACTCTACCTCTAGTTCCCTATCATCTATATCTTTATTGCAGAATAAATAAAATCCCTATCATAGATTCCTGAAAATACAACATTAGAGAGATCATTTATGTATCTTATTCATGTTGGGCACAGTGGCACACACCTGCAATCCCAGCTACTTAGGAGGTTGAGACAGAAGAATATAAGTTTGAGGCCAGTCTGGGCAACTTAGTGAGACCCTGTCTCAAAATCAAAATAATTTTTAACAAAGAGGGGGAATGATATATTTGCCTAGTATGTGTGAGGCCCTGGTTTTGTTCTCTGGAAATGTAAAAAAAAATTTAAATAAATAGAATTTTTTTAAACTAAATATGTATATATGTATATATGATTTTTACCTAGTTTAAAACTTTTTAAAAAATACATTATATATGTGTGTATGCACACACACACCTCTACATATGTTTTCTGAAACAAAATTGTTTTTGAATCATATTTTACTATAATAACAAAARTGTATTCCTAATAAATATTTTAAAATTGACAGCAATCAACACTCATGGTCAAAACTTAAAATATTGTATTTGAAAATATATTAGTGCATTTTAATTTTGATTCTGAGMGAAATGAATAATAATATTGATTCTTACGTAAGAAATGGAATCACTCATTAAATAACAAACAACAATTAGATCTTTGCCAAAATATTAGTTTTATTCTGAACTATTTTATTTTCATAATTTTCCTGGAATAAAAATATTATAACATTTTAATAGTATGGCATTTAATCAGCTTCACAAGTAGAGCTTAACATTATTGTAAATAAACAGGCATAACAAATTGCTACATATTTTATATTGAATACATGCAATCATATATATATGTAAATATGTAAAATAGTGTTCATTATAGAAAGTAATGAACCCAGTTGCCAAGTATATATAAAACTCTTGAAAATTTTATTTTAGCAAATAGTATAACAGTATTCTATGGCCAAGTGTCATTTTTTTGTGACTAGTTCTACAAGTAAAAAGATTGAAAAGTGAATTGTTTTGAAATAAATTGGAAAACAAAATTCTGGAATAGCATTGTCTAGCTGGGTATGGTGGTATGCACCTTTAATCCCAGGCTCTTGGGAGACTGAGGCAGGAGGACTGCAAATTGGAGGCCAGCCTAGCTACAACTTGCCAACATCTTGTCTCAAAATAAAAATAAAAAGAAAGGGCTGGGGATGTACTTAGGTGGTAGAGTATCCATGGGCCCAATCCAGGGTGGGGGGTGTAAATAATGCTGTCCAACAGAACTTGGTGTGATGATGAAAACATTTCTGTGTGACATCCATTATGGAAGCCATTAGCTATTACTGTGTCTGTTGTGCACATTGTATGTGGCAGTGTAACTGAATAAATGAATTTTAAATTTTATTTAACTTCATATTAAATAGTCATACATAGTAGCTACTGAAATTATATAGTGCATGTTAAAAATAATAATAGAACAAAGTGTGACTTTGAAATCAAGGCAAAATTAGCATGAATCCTATCAACTTGCTGCAATCTGCAAATAATTTCTGAAGTTACATAGTCTTTCAAGTATCACAGRAAAGCATTTCCTAACCTTGGGGTGAGGGAGTAAAATCTGTAGCTAGCTTAAATGGCTCATAGGTRTAGTTTGTCCAATTAAAATAAAAGACCCCCCCCTCCCCGGCTTTTGTGGTGTTGGAGATTGAAACCAGGGCCTTGTGCATACGAAGCAAGCACTCTACCGACTGAGTTATATCCCAACTCATAAAAGACCCTTCCTAAAAGAAAAAAAAATTATTACAGTCTCTTACTTCCAATGTTGACTTTTAAATTAGTCTATGATTATGTCACTTAAATATAGACAGACATAAGATACATTTTTCTTTTGGTTTTGTATTTGTCTTGCCTACAATTATAATGTGTTGTGCAATCTAGTCAACTTTGTACCATTAATCTCTACTTCTCACTATGTAAAAATTTTTATTCACCTTGAGGATATTTGGCTTCATTTGGTAAGAAGGCATCATATATGAAGCATGTTTTCATCTTTCAGTTACATACATGAAATCAGCTTTGTAATGAAGACAATGTAAGCAGTGTTGTCTTACAAGGGAACCATTCAGATTATCTGGAATGTGATTACCAACTTTATTTTTAAAGGGAGACAAACATTAAAATATAAAAACAAAATTAAGAAATTCTTGCAGAGAACTGAAATTCTTCTGAGACTATGTCCACAGATTAGTGGAGAGAAAGAAACCAGTTGGGAGGATGATGTAGTCCTCTGAGTGAGGCATGCATGAAAAATGCTCAAAGGAGCAATATTTCCTTTGTCATAAACCACTTAGATTTTCACAGATTAAAGTAAATGTCTAAGATTATGAGCAAGGGAAGAACAACTCTTACATTTCTTTTTTCAAGTGGTTTTGAGTTATCATAAACAATATATTGTAGATTGAAGTATCATTCTGAGGTAAAAGTTGAAGTATCTCAAAATAAGTATCTGGACAGAAAATTTTTGWGAACCATAGAATCCACTACATAGAATTAAGGTTTTGTTTTGAATTTATTCTATACTTATAAAATCCTTACCTAAAGAGCCATTCATGTGATGTGACTCCATTCCTCCTAATCCACCCATGGGACCATCTGACCCGGGACCCATTGGAAACTATATTAAAAATGAAGAAAATGATTGTGATCATATTGAAACAAATTTTATCTTAGTGTTATAACATCTACCTTTAACATTACAAAACATTGCCACAATTTATTTTCATTTTTAAGTTATAGAGAGTTTTTACTTGATTTTTTTTCAGCCTTATAGATTCTCTCATTGAACTGTCCCAACCCTCTCAGTTCATCTTCTCTATGCTCTGGATGTGCAGGATAATGTTCATTTATATTAAATTTTTTTTCTTAGATATCCCCAACTAGACAGCCATGCAAATGATAAGTATTTTCTCCTATGATCCTGACAAACTTTCTATTATAAACCAAAGATAGTTCTTAAGAAGCTGTTAAATGTATTGGCTTATTAAGAAGAACATGTCAACATCATTATGACAACATTAATATTTTTTTTAGCAGGCCATTTGTTCAAATGGACATAATAAATAATTTCATCTTACAGGTTAAATACATTTAGTTCCTGAGGGATAGCTGAACATAGCTAATTCYTGGCAGTCTCAACTTTGTCAGTTCAATGACAGTCACATATTCTATAGCAGTTCTAGTTAACATATTTTAAAGCAGTGGAATTCTCCTTCTTTCCAAGTAACATCTTAAATATTAGAAGTCTGGTACAAAACAGTTGTGAAAAGATGTGCTATAGTAGAGTTGGTAATGGAAAGTCAATGGCTTGCCCATTGTCTTCCCCTCATCTCCCTAGAATACTTCTGAGGAAAYTTGGAGTCCAGTTTGAAGCCAAGTTATCTTATGCTTAGAGCTAAGACAATCTGCTGAAAATATTTTTTTCTTCAAAGTTGATGAAAGCAATCCTTCYATAGTATATGGTGCAGAATACTGAATGTGGAGTGTGTTCATGTGTATATGGAAGGGGCAGTGGTAGTTACCAATCATAAAGGTTTTTGGAAGAAAAAAAATTCAGTACATAAACCCAAATACTACCATGACTGTGTGGAAATATGGGGGATTTTTACCACTGTGAGCACACAAACCACATGCTTTCAAGTTTTCCCAGGAGAAGAATAATTTTGCTACCTAAAATTAATTATCTAAAAGCCCATTGAATTTTTAGTAAAATGACATATAATATATATGCTCCCTGATAAGTCAAAGATTGACTTGGAACTTACTGTTATTATTCAGCTTTTATTAAAAGCATAGTTTAGATCTGAACTGAGCAACTAGAGCCAGAAAACTCAATAGCCTGTGAATTTATTAAGTTTGGCCCTTTTATCTGGCCCCCACAGTGTTTTAAAAGACAACAACACATAAATACATGTTTGGTTAGTTTAACACAAAACAAATGTACTTCTGATTTTTCTCCAGTTTCAGCTATACGCTATATATTTACATATACATGTATGTGTAGCATAATGTTTTATGCATAGTCTTAGCTATATTGTTATATGTTATAATAATAAATATTAGTTTAATTTATTTAATTATATGTTATCATTACATTTATTTATTTAGATTATATTTACAACTATAATCTGTTGTAAATTTTTTGTTAACATGTAGGCCTGATATCATGGATAAATATTTTCCTATACACTTTTTACAGGAAAGATCACGACCATATTCTTCTTGTAAAACTGTCTCAGTTCCATATTTAAACCCTAGATTTCATAATCTAAAGAAAAATGTGCATGTGCAAATTCCTAATTTATTTTCAAGTTCAGGAGGATTAGAAAAATCACAATGAAAAAATTAAATAGTGCTAAAAATGATATAAACATAAATGATTATACACAACTTGTCATTTTAAATAATATTAATCATTCAGTGTTTCAGATAAATTGAGAGGTCAGCATTTATAGTTAGGTTCACTTTTATATTTATATAAGAACCTATGCATTCTATGCTGTTTTTTCTTCAATCTAAAGTCTAGAAAGAATTTTTCTGATATCCAATAGTCTCTTGGATAATAAAACACAAAGCTTAAACAATACTCAGGAAATAGAATGTATTGAGTTTGAAAGTCTTAAAATATATCCCCCCAAGGAAAAAATCATATTTACATTAGGTCTGTTAGGTCCAGGAGGTACTGCATTCATTAAAGTATACATGTTGTCTCCAGAATTAGTTGAATCTGAAACAAAATATTACTTAATTGATATCTTACTTTATAATCTATACAAAAGCCATCACAAAACAACAAAGATGATCTGGATACACATAGGTATTGAGAGCTGTGACACCTGAGATAGCTATTACTACTATTTGGAAACAAGTATCTGGGAGTCTGACCCCCAAACTGTCATTCTACCTATGATGGTATGATAGGTATATGATAAGAGAAATAGTCACTTCAGTAATTCAGGTCAAAGAATTATTACTTCAACAATCTAAAAGGTTACAGTAAAATTTTTTGTTTTTTAAAAACGTGGATACTTTTTGACTTCTCTAAGCAATCACATGTATGCATACAATAAAAATCTCTTAAAATTCACATTTATTATCTTTTTAACTTTCATTATTTCCTTAGGTTACTATCTAAAAATTCTAAAGATAAATCATTTTAGCTATTAATTAGTAAGAGCACGTAGAATATCCTGGCTTAATTTAAAAAGAAAGAGATTAGAACGAGATTATGTAACTGGAATAAAAAACTCTCTTGTTTTAAAGTAAAAGCCAGATTCCTCCACCCAACAGTTTAATAAAATTCTTCTTGCTCATTTTTTTCTTGATTCATTATTATAAAATAAGTGTAGTATATAACCCATACAAATCTGTAACATTTTAGAGTGTTTAAAAAAATTTACATGTCTCTTAGTTAATTCCTACAATTAAAATAGATTCTACATAGATTACTACATAGTCCCTCAGGCTGACCCCTACTTGTTTATACTAAGTGAGGTCTCAATCTATTTTTGTGGCTTTAATGATTTTCATGTTGTTATATACCTAGGCTATTGGTTCTTTCCTGCTTATGACCAAATTTTCCTATCTTTGAATTTTTGTTTTCTTTTCCTCCAAGCATCTTTTCCCCAGGTCCCACCTACTGAAATTCAAGACTTATTTTATGTTATCTATTCCATGAAGTATTTTTTTTCCTGATATTTCCAAGTAAACAAGGGTTCCCCCACCAAGAAATTCTGCCTTGAATAACAGTCTACATATTGTCTTATTTTTGTCTTCTACTTTCACTTAGGCTATAATAATCTCATTGAGATTACATGCCTCAGAAAATAAATATTGGCTAACTTGGATTTAACTAATGGAATAAACTCTATGACCTGCAAAGTTCTCTTTCAGAAAATCTTAGATTATCTTTTAAATACATACAACTTTCAAATGGGTTTTCAACTGAATTATTGTTAGTCTTGGTGAAAGGAAAAATGAGCTATATATTTTAACTATGCATAAAGGACATGAATTTATCATTTTTAAGACCAATAGAGAATATAATTTCACCTGATAAAGAATAAAAAGGAATAGGGTGTCCTTTTCTAGAAATTGCCTTGACTTTTTTAATTAATAGAAGAAATTTACAGTAAAGTGAATTTTTGTCACCTATTTTGGGGGCTAAGGGGTGTTGACTTAATATTAGAGGAGTGATTGTGATAAAGAATGAATATATAATGAGTATACAAGAATGCCTGGAAGATATGCTGGTTGCAATTTCTGACTTTAAAGTTAGAAGTGGTAAAATTACTTATCACTTGCAATGTTTAGAGTTGCTCCAATTTTCTTTAGTCTTGTAGTTAAAGTGTTTCTTAATCACATGTTCCCTTCATAAATTAAACATTGACTCCATGATACAAGAATGTAAATGTAGGGGAGATGACCTGTTCATATAATTCTATCTTCAATGAATTTTATTAATAGTGAATATGCTTTGAGGATAGAGAGTATAAAATATTTATGAGTGCAGTATAAAGAGTTAGTGAAGTAAAGTAAAATTTTGTATTGTCAAACTGGTTTTATTGAAATTTGAAAGTTGAAAATTTAAAAACTTATTTTTGAGGATCATTAATGACATGAATTTTAAGTTTCTATATATCTCAAACTTCAACAAACCAGTTAAAATATGAATCAACAATGAAACAATTAAAAATTATTTCTAGTTATAAAAATTTCCTATTTTATTACCTAGAAGTAATTCCAACAGTTTCTTTTCCCCTACTTTTTAGATTTTTGATATATATATAACATATATATATATGTATATGCATTTATATGTATACTTATGATCATATTGTGTTGAATCATGAGCATTTATTTTCTCATTAAAAATTCTTTGAAAATAACTTTAATGAAATTTTAATTATATTCCATCATGTTATACAAATTAATTCAATAACTTCACGAAAAGTGTATTAAGAGTGGAAATTATGTTGACTATTTCACTATTGACTATGACAAATGAACATCCTTGTGCATAAATCTTGGATTGTATCTTTAATCATTTCTAGTGTTGGGATTATAGTCAAATGGTATGAACTTTTTCACTGCTTTTGATATATGTTACCAGAGWATTTTTTAAAACTGTACTCATTTAAACTCCAATCAGTAGAGTCTCCAAACACATCTAATAGTCTGTATTAAAGTCACAAGAAAAAAGGGTAAAGCTATTTGAAATAACTATGTAAAATGCATATGGGTATRTTGAAGTAACATTTCAACTTAGAAGATTCAAAAAACTTTTCCCACTCTGGCAAATTTACTAATAAATAAATTTCTATAAATAGGGTAATTAAAACTGTGAGCACATGTATATCCATCTTAGCAAGATGACAGATATGGTGGCTCTGATTTGTTATTTCAAATCTAATAGATCTGTTTCATTAATGTTATACAGATTTTTTTCTAAAATATGAGCTATGGATCTTTTTCTCATTTTCAAGGAATCATTAAGTTTGATAAATTATTGGGCAATTCATACCAATGAACAGTTTTCATGCTAAATCAGTTACCCACACAACAAAAATATTCTAAAGTTGATGTAACTTAACAGTAGTTATTTTACAACTCTGTTTCTTCCTATTTGCTACTTCTACTCTATTTCTTTAACCATGAGATAATGACTACTTTTTTATTTCATAAAACAATTTATTGAATAAACAATTTTCTAAATTTTGTGATTTTATTCTAGTAATCAAAAGCCCATGTGGCTAATTTAATTACAATACCTGCTGGACTAGGCATGATGGGTGTTCCTGGTGGCCCTCCACCTCCTGGAGGACCCTAAATTATACAAAATTTCAGTAAAAATAAGGCATTTAATTAAACAATGTAAGGAAAACAAAGATTTATCTCTACAATAATCCAATTTGAAAATAACAGAGGAAATATATTTCTTCATAATTTATTTTCTTTGAATGCACCATCATTTCAATATTATGCAAAACACAATTTAGCTTAACTATGTTGAGATTGTTTTGACAAGTTTCCAAAAACAATGAGCCTGTAGCACTGATTTATTATTCATGACTTAATCACATCAGGTATAATGAGGTTAAGGAGAAACCACTTAACGGTGCTTTTACAAATCCATAAAATAGAAATAATTCATGTGCACTTGTGATTTAGTTTACTGTAATTTTATTACATTTTGTATCACTGTTCTTTAAAATAGGAAGCAAAAAAGATATTCACTTAAGAGAATATCTTTAAAAACCAAAGAAACTCAGATACATTCTGCTMTTTCTTTTTTCAGCATCAACTGCAACAGTTCTGGAGTAGAATACATTCAGTTATCAATAACATCAATTAGAAATGAGATACAATGCTGCCTARTGCTGTGGGTTATTAAGACTACAGCTACACACTCATACTGAAGTAGAGATTAGGATGTTCTGAAGTTGATTCAGGCAATCAAAATGGATAATTCAGACAATGGGTTTCAGAATTTTTCAGATGTCCCATGTACATTAACTCTTACATGGCTAAATTTTCATTTCATTCTTAGTGTGTAGATATAGCCTACCAATTATTTCAAATAATATATGTATTTGGTATTTAATAAACAACTTAAATTTCCCTTCAAATAAATCTATATTTTCACTAAACTCTGTATGAGGCTTATTAAATGATTTTTAAAATAGTTTTACCCCAATTTTCTTACTTACGATTTGTTTCATACAAAATGTGAAGGAAATTAAACTTCCTCAGTTTATATAACTTGTAGGAACATTAAGCACTAAGTTCACAGATCCAATGGAGTGTGCACTTTTCACTATGTTAATAAACACTATTTCTAAGGCAGGTACAATGCTCGTTGATTTTCTTCTCATGTACTCCTTTAATTTCTATTCCAGTTGACCCCAAACTCTGAACATTTCCTTAGGAAAATTTCCCTTTTTATCATTTTATTCTTTCTTCTCTATTAGGCATTTCCCCCTAAATTATAACAAATTATCCTTTATGGTGGCCTTGAGATGTATCAAGAATCAAATTTGATTATGGTTAAAAAGTCATTTGTGAGTTCAAGAGTTTATATAAAACCTGCAATTTTAACTTCAGGACTATATGAATTACTAGAAAAAATTTTACCATGTATTAAAAAACAATGAGAAAAAGTTGGTGTTTTCAGTTTTTAAGAATAACAAAAAACTAGAAGATATTTGCAAACTACTAGGCATTATTCTGCTGTCTGATTCACTTTGTGATTGGGAGAAAGTTTAACATCTTCTTAGATGTTAAACTTTATGTGTGGTGAGTGGGTTGGGGAGGGGGCGTACATTATTCTCCTGGAGAACTGCAAATTCAAGCATATCATTGTTTAACTGAGGATGGCTCTCTTTGTGATTGGACAGAGAGCATTGTACTGGTTTCCAGAAACATATGCTGAAGTAAAACACAGTACTTAGGGCAATTCTAACCAGATTGATAACTGTTTCACTAATGAACATCAACATATGTACTGAGGTTGGCAGATGAAACAACTCAAGATGTTCACTTCTTGGCCAATACACAGGGGCTCTTAACATCTGGACAACTATTTCATTGCTCAAATAAAAACGTAACATCAATTCTTATGAGCAAACAAACCCAAATGTACTTACTACATAATTCCCAGGAGATGCTGAGGAGTATGGTATCTAGAACATGAACAGGACAAAAACAAATATTTTGATTCATGTGGCAACATCGGACTGACCTAAATGAATCAATTTTCTAACTTCTATTAAATTTTAAACTGTATCCCAAAGGACAGTAAAAGATGAAGGAATGTATGTCTGTTTAAGTGTCAGAAATATGAATAACTACAATACTATCTTCAATTTACAAGAAAAAAATGTACATTTTAGTCAGGAGGAATTTACACAGAATTACAGATTCGAGCTATATTGGTTTCAAGTCAGCTGTACACGTTGCTTAATTTAATGATTTATTCTGTAAATAGAAATTACAGATTTTTTTTCAAATTAGTAGCTTCACAGATATTATTTCTAAGCTATGTGCTTTTAAAAAAGATTGCTCACTGTATTCATGCAGCATGGATCAACATTTGAACTCACCTTTCCCTTTGCCTATACAATTAGCTACTATAAAATAATATAACAAATGCAAAAGAACTTATTAATATTCATCTTCAAAATTATTAATTTGTGGGCATCATATATGGGTTATATATTCCCTCTTTCTTTTCAAATAAAACTCTTCCCCCCACTTTTTTTTTGTATCCAGGATTGACCTCAGAGGTGCTTAACTACTGAGCCATATCCTCAGCCCTTTTTAAATAGTTTGTTTGGAGACAGGGTCTTTCGAAGTTGCTGAGGCTGGCTTTGAATTCATGATCCTCCTGCCTCAGCCTCCAGAGCCATTGGGATTACAGATGTGCACCACAATACCTGGTTTAAATCAAGCTCTTAAACAAGCTCTTTTCTAGTGATTAGAAATTATTAATCCCACATTACTCTGATAATTTAAGAAATGAAAAAGTAAAAAGTTTACATTTAAAAATAAGGAAAGTTAAATCCAAATATTTTATTTTAAATACAAGCTCACTTACTCACTTGCATGAAGACACACTGTATATTCCATGAGATATTTTTGCTTTACTCTGATAAAATTGAATAAATTACTGTTTACCTGGAGTCAGTCAGCCAGCACCGGAATAGAACTTTTAAAGAAGTGAAAAAATTGTGGTACGTGAACCCTAACCTGTCTCTCCACCTCAATACCTGCCACATAATTAAACATAATAATATGAAATCATAAAGTAAGAATAAGGAAGTATAACACTTTTGATTTTTTTTCTTGAATAAATCTTTGATGCTTTTTTGGAATTGTTTAATATTAAGTTATATGAAAAGCTTTTCTCCTTGTTTTTTGTTATCCTTATTAAACACAGAGCACATGTCCCTGGGGCTCCTGCTTGTCTCCCTATAGGTATTGAGCATTGCAGATAACAATGGCTGGAGTGCCCAGAATCACTAYTGATAAGTATTACTTGAGCTACTAGTACCTCAGTATTCTATGGCATTTGACATTGACTTAATTGGGTGAATGAATACAATTTTGTTTTCTTCAGCCATTTTCAGTTTATGACGTATCACTCATCCTCTGATTTACATTAAACATCTAACCACCTTTGAGATCTTCAGAAGTTTTAGTTCATTGCCTTCCTTTACAACCCGCTGCCCACTTTTTCATTTGTCAGTACTCTGAATGCTTTGTACAGAGATCCAAATAATTCCCTTGCCTAATATATTTCTTATTTCTTCTGACATTCACAAAATTATTATATATTCCAACTAGAATATTTCCCTACAATTCCTCCATGTTTACTTAGATATTTCTCTATTATTTTATGACTAAATTACTCTGCCCTTCCCCATGCCACTGTCAACATTTCATTTCTTTCTCCAATACCTTAAATTACCTGAAAGCCTAATATAATAATTCCCATCTCTTTGACTACCCCTTTGCTAAAATTTCTGTTTTATAGTAGAGATTTCCTGGAGGGAAACATAAATTAAGGTTGACAACTTCCACAATATAACCATGTTCTCCAACTTCCACTTCGTCTTCATCATTTGGAAGTATTCTGGCTTACCCTTCATGAAAACCAGAAGCCTGTACACCCATTAAACATTGCACCTGGGTGTGGGATGGGGAGGTGTATGATTCTGATTTGTAGCATTTTCCAATTTCTGTGGCATAATTATTCTGTATGGGAAATTTGAAGTTACCAATGCTTTAACAAGTAGCTCAGGAAATTCCTGAAAACTTAGCAGTTGACTTGTGAGCTGACCCTCATGGTGATTATACCATCCTGAATATACTTTGTCCTTCTGGCTTACAGGAAAGTCATCAAGTTCTTGCTATGCCTTCATTTTCAGCCCAATACTCTATTGTTTACAGATTTATATTTTCACCTGTTATTCAGAAGTAGGAAAAAAAGAAATTTCTTCTTGTTTTCAAAGCTAGCTCCTTCCAACCATTCCATTCTCTCAAGTTCCTGTTCTTTTAAATTTTTCTTTCTCAAGATCCTTCATACATATATATAATAAAGCCTACCTTAAGCAATGGTTAACTAGACTGAATATAGCTATAGGAAATAATTCATAGGTTTACAGAGACAAGTTCAAATTTATGTTTAAGGAAGATAATTCTAGAGGAACATGAATTCAAATTTGAAGACTGTTGCAAAAAGTCCTGGCAAGAGATGGTAAAAAGAGTTGTAGGTAGTGCTGAATAAGAAGGAGTAAGAGAATTTGATAATCATTCATTTCACAAATTACTTCACAGGGGTGGTGACAGTGTGAGAGACAAGAGAAGGGCAAAATTGAGGTAATTCCTGTTTCCAACTTGGTGACAGTAGATGATGATGCTACTCATTTATATATAAGGAACTCAGGAACTAGCAGGCTTAAGGAAATGTCTGATATGTTGAATCTGAAGGTACTAGTAGACATTAAGTTAGAACTGAGCTATAAACACTATAAATATAGGTAAAGATTTATTAGAGATCAAGACTAGAGATATAGCTTCAATTGAATGAATTTTCATTTTGTGCTGGTCATAATACCTGATTTAGAATTTTATCAGATTTTATGATGGTTAAAACCACATGAGGACTAGGGTTGTAGCTCAGTGGTAGAGCGCTTGCCTAGCATGTATGAGGAGCTGGGTTTGATTCTCAGCACTGCATATAAATAAATAAAATAAAGGTCCATTGACAACTAAAAAATATATTTAAAAAACCATGAAAGCATTAAAATGGGGGAAAAACAAGATAAGAAAGCCAGGAATGTAATTAGAAAATTCTACCAATTGAGAAAAGGCAGCAAATGTGATTGGATAAAAATTGGAAGAAAATATTTTAAAAAATCAAGCAAGTTAGACTTTTAAGAAGCAGCAAGTAGGTGCAGGTTGACTAGAAAATATCTAAATTGCTGGGTGAAGCTTAAGCCTTTTAGCTTTCTGAGACATAGCTAAAAATAAATAATAAAAGGATACTTTAATAACAATATGGAAAAATAAAGAAACATTAAAGTCACAAATGAAAAATTAATAGACATTTAAAACAAAACTAAGCAGTCAAATATTTCAGAGATCAGGTATGATGAAGACAGAAAAKAAAGCTTTCTTATTTGGTTGGTAAATAGTAACCTTCAGAATGGGACTTTCACAGAATTTGAAATGGGTTGAAAAGTTGGTTGGGAAGTCAATTCAATATGCCTTAATTTATCTCATATGAGGTTTCAGGCCCTGCACTACTGTGCAATGATCAAACCCTAGGAATCCACCCTCCAGGAGACAGTGGCAAAGGAGTCACAGTGAGAGAGAAATGGATGGTTGTTTGGGATTTAAAAGGGCTGACAGGACCTTTCTATCAGCTATCTCCTGCCAATTCCACAGGAGAAGTGGACAAGAGGTTTAAGCTTGTGTAAAGATTTTGCTCACTGGTATTACATTCTAAGAAAATTCCAGTCAAAGGAAATGGATAGGCCAAAGAAAAATTCTTTTGGAGGAGGGAATGGGCAGCATATGCAAAAAAGTAACAAGAGGTAGAATAAAGAGAATAGACAGAAGGATAAGTATTGAAAAGAAAGAACATTTCTATTTCCAAGATAAGAAGAAAGAAATATGACTAAAGGTGTAATGATATTGCTGGTGAAACTTAGAATCTGAAGAAATTTGAGTCTAATGGTCTTTATTTTTTTCTTTCCTCTGTAAAATATGAGACAATTTTAATTGACAGGGAAGGGACCAAGATAATGCAGGGGACACAAAGAGAATAGTAAACTACTGTACCAGTCTCTGAGGAAAGCAGAAGTAGCTGACTAAGGAAGAAGAGTAGTTCAAGCATCAGTGAGGACTCAGCTGAGGTTCAGCATTACAGATTTAAAATATATCATAATGTGTTAAGTGTAATTATAGAAATACCTGTTAAACATGATGGAAGAACTAAAGAAGCTGTTCTATAAATACTTCAAATATAACATTTTAAAAAATTCCACAAAGCAAAAACAAAACCTTGTAATCTACCCTCTAAATCTTTTTTCCTACATTCCTAACTCAGTTTTGTTATTACTATTCTTCCAAATGCCTGGATTCAAAGACTTGAAAACACTTTTAACTTTCTCATTCTCTTTATCCCTAAATCCTCCCTCTAATACTACCCTATGCTTCATACAAAATGTCCACTAAGATAAAAACAAAGGATAAAAATGAATATGTAGAAGACAGACAAAATCACAGAACTGGAAGGTCAGAATCACAGAATAAGAATCCGTTATTTGACAGATGAGAAAATTAAGGGCTCAGAAAATTGCCTAAGTTAGATAATTCAAGAGTTCTGATAAGAATGCAAATTTGTAAAATATTCTGAATCCTAATACCCACGATTGTGGTGTAGTGGTAGGGGCCAGAGAATTAACTAGAGGGCTTCTTTTTGTTTATTTTTTAAAATTATCAGTAACATTTTAAGTACCTTTCTTTACAGATAAAGTACCTTTCTTTATCTGTAAAGCTTACCTTATAGCACTGGTTAACTAGAAATTAGGAAGGGCAACATCAAGACATCATAACTGGTAGAAAAGTTAAAAATATTTTTAGTGCTCTTTTCAAATAATGAGCTTCTGTTGGTATAAAGCAGAGCCTATTTGAGATAATACATTTTTATTTTCTTTTGTTTTAATTACTATAATAGATCCTTACTTTTTTCCTTTCTCTTTTTCTTGGAAACCTAATGAGTTGATAAGTATAAAATTGTACTGAACCCTTTTTTAATTATTTTCCTGTCCTCTCTTCTTCTTCTGCTAAAAATTCCTTTAATTTTCCTTGGTAACCCCAGAGTTTTCTCTACACAGTTTGAGTTAGGCTTAGGGAACTAACGTAACGTAACGTAGACATAGCAGAAAAAATATTATATCCCCATCTATAACTGTTTTATGAATGAACATATGACCCCAGCTAAGCAAGTTCAGTTCGGTTATTTTCAGTTTCTTTGTTAAACTGATAAGGAGTTGTGTTCTTTTGCCCTGAAATGGAAGCTGTGAGGATATGAATCTGAAACTTCACACAGYCTCCTTGCTATGAAAAGGGAAACAAAGGCAAGAAACTAAGCGACTAGGTCCTGATGAGGTTCTTTGAATTCTTGGAACCAAATATGCCCAAAGTCAAATTTAAATCTGAACTTTTCAGATACATGATGTAGTAATATTCTCCCTCAGTATGAATTTAGTTTGGTTGGTCTCTATATATTGTGACCCCAAATAGTTCATCTTTAATAAAAATGCTTGCTAGTTAAGTGATCCAACCTTATTATGCATCTAAGCCAAAGCATACTGTTTTTTGTGAAAAAGATAAATAAGGAAAAACTGGAATTGGTAGATTATAAACAATATTCCAAACAAGAATCTGAGGTCAAAACTATAATGCTTAGGGTCAAAGAAGTTCAAAATGAAAAAGTCATACTTTCATTCTGAATTAAAAACAAGAATTTATCCTTAAAAATGTTTCTCCTACCGTCATCTATGAGTGTCATAAAATATTTTTGATCAAAATACTTTTATAGGATGAAATTGTAGACAAAGATTATGAATAGATACATATATCATGGATAATGGTAGGCAGGTTTCACACTTTCAGAGAAGTTGGTTATAACCATGGAAAGCAGAAAGGCTAGAATGAATTCTGTAGTAAGGGACTGAAAAATTGAGGCCTTAGCTGCACTTGTGTTGTTGATATATATTGATAAAGAGAGATATAGATATATGTGACATGTAGACACAGAGACATCTATCTTCTAGTTCTGTTGGTTGGAGGCATAGAAGCTATATTACTCTAATGAGCTTTAAATACCACTTTCCACTGAAAAGACCCAGGACTCATTAAAGAAATGGCTGTTTCCGGGGTTAAGGTTGGGGAAATACAAGATAAGCTTCTGAGTGCTCAAACAATAATGGGCCATTTTAAAAGCAGAAATGAGGCTAGAGATATAGCTCAGTAGTAGAGTGTCTGCCTAGCATGTGTGAGGCCCTAGGTTTGAAGCTCAGTACCACAAAAGAAATCTCTAAAAGTAGAAATGATCCAGCTTGAAGAGATTCCCACTGGCCAAATTTAGGACAATTTTCACAAGCTAAACCCACTGAATATTTAATCCATCAGTATATATGAGCATAAATGAACATGAATGGGAAAGAAAGAATAGCCTTTTTGTTCTAGTAGAAAGACATGTAATATATGGAAAATGAAAGACAGAATTAAAAGATATCCATATGGCAACCAACAAAGTAAGAAATTCAAATAAGAATCATTGATGAATGCCAAAAATAGCTGCTGAAGGTATAAGGAGGAAGGGCTTATTTACTATAGCTTCAAAGTTCTGTCTCCAAGTTAAAGTTACAAAAGGAAAAATAATAATTTCCATTTATAGAATTCTGATAAGAAACACCTTAACCAAATGATCAAAATTAACATTAACAGTAATGGTACAAATAACCATATGTGCCTCCTGAAATGACATACTGAGAAAAACACAAAGCTACTGGGGTAKTCTTACCAAACATATGAACTCCCAAGTCTAATCATGAGGAAATACCAAATAAAACCAAATTGTGAGATGCTCTAAATAATAACTGGCTTCCATTTAACACAAGTGCAAGAATGAGAAAGACAAAGAAAAGCTGGGGAACTGTTCTAGATTAAAAGAGACAAGACATGATAGAAAAAGAGAACCATGTTTCCTTTTGTTATAAAAGATATTATTGGGACAATTGGAAAAATCTAAATAAGACCTGTAGATTAAAAAGTAGCATTAAGTCAATGTTAATGCTCTTATTTTGACCATTATTTTGGAGTTAAGAAATGTATTAGGATTTAGGGAAAGCACACTGAAGTACTTAGGGATAAAGTTTCAGGAAACTTAAATGGTTCAGGAAAAATATGTTTATGTATAGAGAGGAAACCATAAAGCAAATGTGGAAAAACATTAACATTGGGCAATTTGGGTGAAAGGTACATGRCAATTCTTAGTACTATTCCTGTAAGCTTTCTGTAAATGTGCAGTTACTTCAAAATAGTGAAAAAACAGTCAGCAAAGCATATTTGAAAACAGCAAAAATAAAAACAACACTTTAGGATGCTTCCCTAAGGAGTCACAGACTTATGGAATTAATATAAACTAATTGTTTGTAATATTAAATAAATACAGAAAATGTAAGGAACTTTGTGTTCAAAATAATATAGATGAGTTGTCATTAAAAAATAATTTGGGTAAAAAAAGTTCACCTTTTATACCTTCTACTTCTGTTTCATAGAATCCCTAGTTTCTACTACAAAGTTACCAGTTCTCTATAATTTCTTTCTTGTTCTCATAAGAAATCATTTTCTGGAGAATGTTTTTCTTTTTCCTGCTCAAGATGATGACCATTTCTCTTCAGAAGAGAAAACCTGCCCTCCTCCCACTTCTTTCCCATTTGCATACTTAGAATGAGAACAGATGCTTCCACATGTGGTGTTTATTAACCAGGGAGACTGCTTTCAGGTCTCTTAGTTGCCTACATTTGTGCTGGTCAAATACCCATTTCAGATTGATCATTGGACATCAGTATGATGTTCACCTCCTACAAAAGTTCTTAGTTCTAAACAGGGTCTAAAATAATGCAGAAATAATGATCTGATATAGTCATTCTCCTACCCCTAGTGCTCAGCTCTAAGAAATGCTAAGAAATGGGGTCTCTAAGAATCATCAGAATGCAGTGATCTCTTCTTTTCTTTGCCTCTATCTAATCCTCTTCACTTAGATAATATACTCCCGGTAAGTACAACGCACCGTCCTCAATATCAACTCCCTGAATGCTGCCCATCAGTGGTTTGTAGGAGATATAATCTCTGGACAAGTATATAGAAAAATTGGGAGTGAAGAAGATGGATAGTTTGACCTGTCCTCTAGCTGCTTGTAATGAGCACTTGGGATGGTTTGCTGAACAAAGTGAGAAAGGAGGGAAGGGTCTTCTTGCTTCTAGGTGGAAAGGCTTACCCACCTTAGTTAAGGTGGGATGTGGTTGTGTTTTAAAATCTGGCCTCATTAAACATGCAAATAATATAAATTCATTTCAGATTCTGGCACTAGGAAGATTGTCAGTTTTTTCATTATGAATTTTTTTTAGCATCCTTATGGGCATTTCAATAGGAAGTTGCAAGAAGTGTATTTTGAGCGGCAAGCCAGATGCCATTTTAAAGTGAAATCTTGAATTAATTAGTTAAGGCAGATAGCAAGAAGCAAACAAAAACATAAACTCCTCTACAGCACATAAGCACACTGAAAGAATTTTGGAGCAGTGAAGTTATTCACATTTCAACAATCTGACAAAAGAGTATCAAGATTTGTTGAATAGTTCATTGAAGACCCAAAAAAGAAGCAACATCATATTTTCTACCTCAAATAACTTCATTTAATCAGTAAACACCATAGATATTAAAACTAAGAAAACTGGGTAATGTAAATTAATAACTTTTCTCTTTATATGATAGTTATTTACCTGAGAAGGAAGTGACTTTTGCTTTAGAATAGCAACGGACTTACAATGATTTTTCTGTTATTAAACACACTTCATTTTTAACTTCAAGTTTAAATAAACATTATACATTAGATAAGTTTTATGTTTATTTAGCATTAAGGCCACTGATAGAGAATGAAGCCATCCCATCTGGGTAGCTGTGCACATAGACTTGTCAAGTGGAATAGTGGCCAAGTCCCCACTGACTCCTTTGACTTAAGAGCCTGTGTACTGTGCACACACTGTACAAATTCACACAGCAGGCCTTTCTTATGTATTGAAGAACTCAAGATTTCAAAGACAAGGAGAAAAAACATCACCAGGATCATGAAATTAAGATCATATTAATTTTGTGTTCGATAGCTTAATTTTCAACCCGTTCATATATTTATACACATTACTAAGAAAGAAAAACATCCATAGTCAATCACTGCCACAATAATAAAAGGAAAATTTCTAGAATGTTAGGTTCATAAATGTGAGAGAATGGCAATTTAGCTAACAAGCACAAAGAAAATGTGTACTTGCTTTCTGAGGCAGCAAGACAGAAAAACCTATGTGTAATTAATACAAGTACAATCATAATAATTTAGTTTCCTCTAATTGAGATTGATCATATCTGACAACTTAGTTGATTATTATATCTATTACAGAGGATCAAACCATTTTATGACTAATATAAACTACTACATAAGATATTGAAGTATATTTAAATCGCACCATTTTTAATTATCTTTGAAAATATGTTAACTGATGTAGAATGCATATTTACAATTAGCTCTTTAAGTGAAAAAATTACATAATTTTAAAATTGGGTATTTTTCTAAAAAACATACACAAAACCTTTTTGAATGATTATTCATAGGATGGATTGCAAAGCTTTCATAAACAGCATATTTTTGTTTTTGTCAAATGTTACAAAGCACAAGCATAGAAAATTTAAAAGGTGTATATGTATGTATGTATGTATGAATGTATGAATGCATATATATATATATATACTCACTGAATTGGCATTTGTTGGGTTTGGCCAAGGTCTACCACCACCTGGACCCCTATAAAACAATATGATAAATGAAATTTTAACCTATGCTTTGAATGTTTCACAATAAGTAACAAATCATAAAATATTAGTATTTACAATTAATTTACCATGAAATTCTGAAATTGCTCTCTTTATGTTTATTTTATTGGCTTTATTATTTCTTAAAAAACTTTTATCATTTCATGAAACAGTTTCTTCCCAAATTAAATTACTTCTAGTAAGGCCAGTTTTATTTTAATATTCTCTTTATTTTTATAAACAAGTAATGGTAATTCATACATGTATCTAAATCATAACATTTTTGGAGTAAAAGTCACTGATTATGGAATAAAAAACACTATAATCTTGTGACATCAATATAAGAGCCATATGTATCTCATTTAAAGTGAAATTATTTGTAAAATATAAGTAGTATTAATTGTTGCTCTAATTATTAAGCTATCAATAAATATATAAAAGGTAACAAGAGATATCTCCTTTACCAAAAATCAAAGTATATATATATATGTATATATATGTTACTTTGTATGTCTATATACTTTATACAAAATCTATATTTCAGTGCTATTGATGATTTCGTTAGTAGTAATGAGGAAATTACTTTCTTATTTTCATATTTTTGGTTCAAGGTAGTGGCAAGAGTAAATATTGGAAAAATAAGAGGTAACCTATGTGAATGCATGATAATATATTACTTTATTTTAGAGTGGAGGAGAATGTTTTATATTCSATACCTTATAAGGGCATACATTTTTTAAAACAAACTTATATCCAGTTAATTAAATCAAAAAGGTCCCATTCTCATATTGTAGTACTTAGTGATTAAATGCTGTTTTGTGAAAAGGAGACTATTATCAGCTATTCTTTTGTAATTAGTACTATTCAAAAATTCCCTTTCCCAGGCTGGGATTGTGTAGTTCAGTGRTGGAGCATTTGCCTAGCATGTGTGGGGCACTGGATTTGATCCTCAGCACCACATAAAAATAAATAAAATAAAATAAAGGTATTATGTCTATCCACAACTAAAAAAAGATATTTTTAAAAATTCCCTTTCCCTCCAGTCACTAGGAGTGTGAAACTTTTTTTTGAGAGAGAGAGAGAGAGAGAGAGAGAGAGAGAGAGAGAGAGAGAGAGAGAGAATTTTTTAATATTTATTTTTTAGTTTTCGGTG